AGCCTAAGAACACCCTGCTGTGGAGATCCAGGTCGAGCGCGCCCCAGTATGTGCACTGGTTCCACTGTGCGACTCGCACGGCACTTTTGGCTGAAAACAGTTTATGGTACGTGTAGAAGTGCCCTCCCCTGTAGGACAGCGCAAGCTCGGCTATGATTGCCAGATAATCATTTAGTTCGCGCCGCCTGTGGGGGAAAGCTGAACATATTATTTCTGTGAAACGAAAAAAGGCTATTGAAAATTCAGAAAACGAAAGAACGCGGGATGTGTGCGAGTTGGTGTTTTTCAGGGTGACGGAGAAATCCCCACAGTCTATTTGGCGGTCTGGATCGTGTGCGGGGAGCAGAGAGAGAAGGGAAGAAAGGTCTACGTCTGCACCTGAGAGGATCAGTGCGCGGATGCTTTGGGACACTGGTGGTGGTTCCATGGCGACAGCATTGGACGGGACGGGCATCGGAGTTGCTGTGAACAGAGAATATTGAGACTTGGGTTAAATGAGAGAGCTGGGGAGAGTATAAGCCGGGGCTGCGAATGTTGGCAGCGGCCTCACGATTGGATTACCCGCTGTGGCTTGAAAAGGAAAGTTAGTTGGAGGATAGAAAGGAAAGGAAGGGTGGTAGAATGAAGAGTGGGCTTGTGGTGCAAGCGGAGGCGGGCTTGCGCTTGTCTCAGCTACTGTAGCTGCAAGCCAGTGGATGTGGGCGGGGTTGAAACCTGTTGGGTGAAACTGATGAAAGGGTTGGACCTGTGATGCTAGCGGCAGTAGCCTCGCGCTAGTGTCTGCGACTGGAGCTGGAGGCCACTGAAAAGGAAAAGGGTTATGAGCAGTGTGAGAATCAAACTGGGAGGTTGTGGAGAAGCCACTGGGCCTTACTGCGTACGGCTCTGCGACAGCGGGAGTCATGGTGGAGGGCTGGGCCTCGTCTATAGGTGGGAGTTGGCCTATAATGGCGGAATCTGGGGCGCGGCCCAGGCTCACTGAAGGCCTATGCCTCGATGGACGAATCTAGCCGGATCTTGTGAGGGAGGATGACGGTGGTGACTGGGCAGGCGACTTTTGGGCCCTGGGGGCTTTGCTCTGCCTGAGAGTCGTCTTGGGAGTTGGTGTGGACTTTGGAGAGTGGTTAGCTGACTGCGTTAAGGTAACGTACAGATCGTACAGCTCCGCTTTATTCAATTTTCGCGAAGCCTGTACGTCTGAATTTCCCAGCGCTTGCCTCAATCCAGCTACGGTCCATTTCCCTATAGGTGGGATCGTCGGGACGGCCGAGCTGTAGGAGGAGGCCAGAGAGGAAGATGGAAGTCTTGCCGGGGGCGGCGAAGACTGCCCTCGACGTCTTGGTGAGCGCTGGGCTGATCGGGCCGGTGTGCAGCCGCGTGTAGAAGCCTGGGGCTCAGGTGCGATGTCCGGCGTAGGAGGAATAGTTGAGGGGACGGCGGAATGCGAAGGCACATCCCTGGCGATACTTACTTCTTCGTCGGCACAAATGCTCGCCTTGCGAACTCTCCTGTTCGAACTCGTTCATCAAAATGAACAAATCTTTTTTCGAGTCATTGACTCGTTCATCAAAATGAACGAATCTTTTTTCGAGTCATTGACTCGAAAAAAGATTCGTTCATTTTTATGAACGAGTTCGAACAGGAGAGTTCGCAAGGCGAGCATTTGTGCCTATAAAACTTTAACTTTTTTATTTATTTCTTAAATGGCCAATCGTTTCGCTAGATAAGACCCTTATTCATCGTCTGGTATCGTTTAAAGCCCTTTGAAGCTGAACTGAAACGGTCATTTAGACCTTGAACCGTTTGGCTACCATTGAAGTCCATTATATGGAGAAAAATCCTGGAATGTTTTCATCAAAAACATTAATTTCTTTTCGACTGAAGAAAGAAAGACATGGACATCTTGGATGACATGGGGGTGAGTAAATTATCAGCAAAAGTTTTTTTTAAAAGTGAACTAATCCTTTAACTGAACGTGCTCCTCCCGAACTTTGTTAATAAAACATCATATAATCTCTGCAATTCTCCATCTGTGATCCTCGAAGAGTCTTTGGCCACTCAAACTTTCATACTCATCGTCCAATAAGGCAATATAGACACACGTCCTCTTCCTGGCAGATTCGTAACATCTTTAGTTGATTGGAACTTCTTAATTATTGCCCTGATGGTCAAAATGTGGATTTTCAATTCTTTAGCTATTTTCTTACAGTCACTTTCTATTTTTTGATGCTCAACAATCTTTTGATGCACATCAGAACTTTATTCTTTGGTTTTACTCATTGTGATGGATGATTAAGGGAATTTGGCCTTTGTGTTTGGCCTTTTGGGGAATATACTTCAGAGATATTTTACTCGTAAAAAATTCTAGGGGTGCCAATAATTGTGGCCAACGTGTTTTGGAGAAAAACATTTATTTCATAACGTGATAAACGTGATATTTCAAAAGGATAAACGATGCAGATTAATTTTTTACAGCCAGTTTTGATCATATTTACCAGGGGTGCCATTAATTCTGAGCACGACTGTATATATTAGGGATGTAAACGGTTAATCGATTATCGATTAATTGTCGAAAATAATTTACTCGACTAAATTAAATTAAGTGTCGGCTAATTGAACATTGCGAACGTGACACGAGATTCTCACGCGAGAGACCTGACACAAACTTGAGGCGGCAAAAAAGAAACCAAACATGAGGCGGTCGAAACGGAGTGGACTACCAGCTATATACAGTGTGCTAACCTCGAAAATCTAGCTGTATTCTAACAATAACTTAGCTCTCCTTATTAGCTAGGCTCCTTGCATGCTGGCTAATAACTTTTTTTAAAGCTGGGTCTCAAACATTAACAGCGCTGTGTTGGACAGATTTGTGCAGCGGTGTACCATGAGGGAGAGAGAGCGCGAGAGGTACGGGTGAGTGAGAGCGCGAGAGGTAGTGCTGCGCGAATGCGCTACGATGCTCTGCAATCAAATACGATTTTAAAAAGGCTTAGTAAAAAAAAAATATCGAAAATCAATGTGTGGCGATCAGCGTTGATATTGTGGTGGGCCGCCACAAATAAATTAACGTATGGGAAACTCTGCCCTCTAATTTTACCGTCACCTTCCTCAGGGATGATTTAAGTTGTGTTCAGTTCTATATTTTAAGTTTCCAGGGGCCGTATTCACAAAGAATTTTATCTTACCACTAGGAGTACTCCTAAATCGCACTAAAATATTTTAGCTAGGAGTTTTCTCTTAAAAGTTATTCACAACGCCTTTCAGACCTACTCTTAGTAAGGAAAAATGACAACTCCTAAACTAAGAGTGAGTCTTCGTTGCTATGGATGACGTCACTTCTCATGCACGAGCCTCCTCGCAATGATCACGGTGATTGGTTGTTAGATGACAGGGCCATCATGCGGAACATACCACAGACGCAACAAATCATGGATTTAGGACATCTAAATATGTCTGTGTCCTACACAAAATAATAATAGTAATGTCATCGAAATGTTTGTGCAGGCCCCAGTGAAGTGTAATTCTAACAAGGCAGAGAGAGAGAGAAGTCGTGAATTAAATTAAATTAAATCAAGGTAGCCTAATACCCCAATGAAAACCGCCACTTGCCTAATAATGAAAAAACGACACTTGCATTAACACTTGCTTGGTTAATTGACATCCTATTAGCCTAAATAGACTACTTAAAGCAAGGAAATGTTACTCCTATTGAAGTAATGTAATGGTGTGTTCACACCGAACGCGAATAAAGCGTCAAATACGCGTCTATCGCTTGAACATTCGCTCGAGTTCAAATTTTTCAACTTGCGCGGAAGACATTCGCGGCAAACGCGTCGCCCAATTCGCGTCATTTGCAACGCCCGGCGCGAATGATGCGCCTATTCGCGTCTTTGCATTGACTTTGTATGTAATCTACTCGCGCAAATAATTAAATTCGCGTTCGGTGTGAACACACCATAATAGTTGAATGACGGTGGATTATGAACTCGCCAAAACGGAAAAGAAAGCCCAACTGGACGCAGGATCAGTTACTGCTGCTGGCCCAAAAACATAATAAAAGTGAAATTCGGCACTGGGATATCAAGCAAAACTAAGCGTGAGAATGGGAGAGGATTTGTTTGCAGATCAATGCAGCATTCCCGCTTGTGTCGCGGACCCCGGACGACTGCGAGAGGCGGTGGTATGCGCTACAATCCTTTGTGAATAGGTCTTAGTGAGTTAGGAGTCCTCTCGACTTCTTTAAAGCTGTCCCAGACTTAGGTGCTACTTTTAGGGCTAAAATGCTTCGTGAATTACTCTTAGTGAAAAAAATTAGGAGTCCTAAAGTTAGGAGTGACACGCCCATTATTTTTAGGAGTTGCTCCTAAATTTGCCAGTTAGGAGCTACTTTTAGCCTTAAAATTCTTTGTGAATACGGCCCCAGGTCTAGTAATTTTACTTTTACCTTTCTCAGACCAAGGGGGATTATAAGTGCTGCTGCTAATGTTTAAAGTTTTTCATACAAGTAGTTTAGATTATAATATATAGGCTTAATATAGTGTAGGCTATGCCTGCCCATATAGATTTTTATTTCAAATGTATTTTATGTTGCTTAATGTTTCACATGCAACAGGTGAGCCAGTGCACAATTATTTTTTTATGTATTTTAATTTTCTGTGCATAATTTATTTTGTTAAACTACATAAATGCCATTATCTGTACCGTATCCCAACTGTTACAATAAAACATCAATTGAGCAATATAACATGCATTTTTATTCAGTATATAAGCAATATTTTGGTTTTTATGTTAAAGTCACTATTGATACTGTGAGAAATTTACATTCTCAGGAAAATAGCCGCTTATCAGTTAATCGTTAATCGATCGATAAGGTCGATCAACTAACGATTAATGAATTAATCGATAATTTGCATCCCTAGTATATGTATATATATATATATATATGCTCACTAAAGCATGAAACACAGCGTGGGCTGACAGCTCAAAGTGAATGCGATTACCTGAAGGTCATAGGCAGTGTATGGAGGTAAGCGGGGGGCAGTGTTGTAAAAAGAGTTGATGGAGGTGGTGGGGCCAGGCGTCTCTCGGGGTGGAGGAATAGGGAGAGGTTCTGGCTCACAGGAATCTGGGGCTGCTGTTGGCATCTTCAAAAGGGGCAAAACAGAGGCTCAATGAATGTCACAGGTTCTCAGAAATCATACAAAATGCTATACTATATGGACAAAAGTATTGGGACACCTGACCATTACACAAACAGGGACTTTAATGACATTGCATTCTAAATACATAGACATTAATATGGAGTTGATCCCCTTTGCAGCTATAACAGCTTTCACTCTACTGGGAAAGCTTTCCACAAGATTTCCGAGTGTTTCTGTAGAAATGTTTTGCCTATTCATCCAGTAGAGCGTTTGTGAGGTAAGGTACTGATGTTGGACGAGAAGGCCTAGCTCGCAATCTCCATTCCAGTTCATCCCAAAGGTGTTGGATGGGGCTCTGTGCGGGCCAGTCAAGTTATTCCACACCAAACTCCAACCATGTCTTTATGGACCTTGCTTTATGCACTGGGGCACAGTTATGCTGGGGTAGACAAAAGCCTTCCCACAAAGCCGAAAGCATAGCATTGTGCAAAAAGTCTTGGTATGCTGAAGCAATAAGATTTACCTTCAGTGGAAGTAAGCAGCCTAGCCCAACCCCTGAAAAACAGCCAATAACTCTCCTCCACCAATCTTTACTGGCACCCACCAAACTCAAACTTTCTCATCAAACTGCCAAACGGAGAAGCGTGATTAGTCACTCCACAGAACATGTTTCCACTGCTCTAGAGTCCAGTGGTGGCGTGCTTTACACCACTCCATCTGACGCTTGGCATTGTACTTGGTGATGCGAGGCAGCCACGGAAACCCGTAATAATTAAGATTTGTGTTCCAATACTTTTGACAATATAGTGTATATAAGTTGTTTGCACTGCATTTCAATCTCACCATATCCTTGAAGCCACCCAGCACTGCGGCGGTGATGATGCCCAGAAACAGAGCTACGATGTTAAGGATAGTAGCAGACCACAGCAGGTGGTAAAGGTGCACAACATCCTGGCAGCTCCGCACCTCTGTGTACTCATGGTACCCTCCTCGCAGTTCCACTCGACTGAGATGGTGAGGAGAAGAAACATATTATAACAAGACATTCATGAAATAAATAAGACACATATTGGTGAGAGGCAGAGCAACAAAAGGGGTAAAGCATGACAGAACAGTGACTCATGCAAAAGAATAGAACAAAACCATCTGCATACCAGTGCACATCACTCTTAAGAAGAGCATGAAATGGATAAATATATCCAATCTTCTTATTTAAGCTCACTGTCATCAAAGACTCTTTACATGTAAACCTAAAGTATTGCTGTCTCTCCTCACCTGTGAAACAGGAACCAGAGAACACTGAATCTTAGTTCCTTTCATTTCATCAGTAAAGTAACTGTACTTAAAGTACAGCGACTGTATGCAGCCACACTTAGTACTTTAACAACAACAAATAATGGGCTGTCAATGTCATTGAGGGGCTAAAAGTGGAAAGACCTACTTCCAAATCATGGAGGATTTCCTAAATTTTTTCAAAACATCTTTATTCTGAAGTCCCATAAGAGGATGCTCTCTGAAACATAAATAAACACAAATGTTCTTTCGAACAGAGCTGCATTTCAGGGATAGAAGCACATACCATACAAGCAAATATAAACCAGAACTTAACCAAGGTAAAACAAAGCATAGTTGTTGTTTTTAATAAATCCGCTTGTTTGGAGAAAATATTCTAGGAGGGATGTATCCAAATGGGACTCGCTCACACACACATACTTGCCACAGTTGTAAAGGTCGCAGCAGTAGCAGGTGTTGCTCTTCACACGCAGGTTACAGGTGACCCGAGATGCAGTTTGACAGTGGACCTGCAAGACAGATGTGTTTTCTAAATGGGATCCCACTATACTAGTACATAACCCTCATTCAGATGCTTGTAAGTTGGTGAAAGCACTTCTCTCAGGTTGGCGACTCACATCTAAATCAAACGCAGTCCCGGAGTAATATTCACATCGGCCAGCATATACAGGTCTGAGGTCCTTTGAAACAACAACATCAGTATGCCATGACAGAGCTTTCACTGCAATGTTTATCTGAAGAAATACATTTTACAATAAAATGGTGTGGAAGCACTTACTATATGTCTTGCAGCAAAAACGCCATCCACTATAGCACAACAGAAGGCTGCCACCACACCGAAGCTGATGAAGACAATGGAGGCCACCAGCTGTAAGCAGTACAGCAATGTCAACATATTCACCTGCTGTAGTAGCTCAATGCATCTGCATTCACACCTGGGCACTACTATCTACGATTTCCTTATACTGTAGATACATATTGAAGTGGTTTGTCTAAGATCTTGTAGATGTGAATATTATGGGACAAGGAGAATGTCTGCTTGGATTTTTCCTTAGTGCCACTTAACTTCACTGATTTATCTGCATTTTCACAACCAGCCATTTAGATACCAGTCACACCATTCTGCTTGTAATCCAAAGCACTTTGCAGAGGCGTCTGTCTTGAGGCTTTGTATGATACAAGACAACTTAACACATTTAATTGCCCATATCTGATCAATAAATAAGGCTTTTTGAGTGTTATTCTTGATATAATCTAATATAAATCAATCCATCTTAAAATAATGAATTCTCTCCTAGTAAAATCTTTTCCAAATTAATAAAAAAAAATATATAGAAATTTTATAGAAATTCAAACTTTTGTTTCAAATAAATGTGGTTCTTTTGAACTTTCTATTAATCAAATAATCCTGAGAAAATTGCATCAGTATTTAAACAAAAATATTAAGCAGCACGATTGTTTTCAAAATCGATAATAATAAGAAATGTTTCTTGAGTATCAAATAGGCATATTAGAATGATTTCTGAAGAATCATGTGACTCTGAAGACTGGTAATGATGCTGAAAATTCAGCTTTGCCATCACAGGAATAGATTACATTTTAAAGTTTTATGAAATAGAAAACAGTTATTTTAAATTGTAATAATGTTGCACAATTCTACTTTATTTTTTTATCAAATAAATTCAGCTTTGGTGAGCATGAGACTTGGTGACAAGAGATTATTTATATTCGAATTATACCATTTATGTTATCATTGTAACAATATGAGTGAAAAGTTTAATAAAAAATTATCATACGTTTCATAATGTCTTAGTATTTAGTTTGTCTCCCTTTTGCTTTAATGACAGCAGCATGAACTCCACAAGCCTGGGTAAAACCTGATGATCATGTTCTCCAGCATGATTTGAAAATGATCCAAAGAGCATCTTGTGCTTTAAAGGAAACAAGAACATCTGACCGTCTGTAGAAAATGATTTGACATGCTCAATTCTACAAATTTGCTTATTTGATTAGTGACCTAGAAATAGTACAGAAACACCATGTACAAAAACTAAAGATTGTTTTTTTTTCAGTTTTTTTTCCTTCAGGTTTTCAAATTCTCATACTTCTGGACCACATTATATATGCTCCACTTAACCACTTCCACTATAAGGATGAAGTGTTTATCCTGCACTCTCCCAGCAGTAATTGTTCCTGTGTCTATGATCTGGCCAGACATGCCATCCTCATGCATTCTTTATTTGGATTGTGGCACCTCATATTCCCTCTGCACTGCATTGGCTTCTGAACATTCCTGCCTGGACATCCATCCCGCTCCCCTTACACTGAGCTATTTCTGGGTGGATCTCACCACAAGGCCTGCAACATGCCCTGCTATTCGAGCTCAAAACCATGAGCTCAGAACCTTTCTGCCATTATGACATGACTAAAAACAAGCTGTTTTTGTGGGCATTTGGTTAAAAATGTCAATTGGATGATGGAATGCACAAGCACAGAATCCAATATGAGCAGTGTAATGAAAGACTCCTTACCATCTGCCTTTTATTCTCTATCAAATGGGCACCAATGATTCCCAGAAAGGACCCGAAGCCAAGCTGAAAATATCACAGGGTGAAACTCTGTCACGATGCAAGTCTATGTAAAATATTTTTAGTATTATAAAAATATTTTAAAATACTTTCTCCAAGCAGTAGTTAATTTTATGGTGTGGTCAATGGCCAAGTTAAGAGCTATATATGCAATCTGGCCATGTCACTTGCATATAGTATTTCAAAACAGTCAGTCCCTGTGGAATACCAGGAAAACACCTGTTACTTGTACAAAACATTCTGTAGTATTATTTAAGCTTGTATGTTTCTCCAAGAGTGCAGAACATAATGATACTTGCTGTTGTTGAATAATAAATGGATGAGTTCACTCAGTTCAACCTTACAGTAATGAGGTAATGGCCAACGGTCACCATAATGGTGGGCCAAGCGGAAAATAATTAAACATGAGGCCTTTTCTTCCCCACAGTGCTTTACATCACAAACCCATTTATAGACCAATAGGATGGTTTGTAGTCTGTTCAGCACACGGCTATGAACATTAGCAACATACTTACAATGACTCCTGGATAGTAGCCACCAACAGTGATGTTTTGTGTCCTGGTGGTAGCGGCCAGACCAAAGACCAGGATGAGTATGGAGACAATTAGGAGCATCACTGTTACTATGATGGACTTTCTTTTCCTCCTCTTAAATGATCCTGAAAAAGACAATGGAGTTAGAAGAGGCCACAGCACAACACGCCCTTCCCTTAGGCAACATTTTGTTACTCATTGTCTTATTTTAGGCACGTTTGTTTTGGGGTAATGCAAAGCAAAGCAATCAGTGTATATGACCTCTTGTATGTCTATAGTATCTATCTACAGCTGCAAAGGCACCCAGAAACCCAGATAAATGTACTATGTGAAGTAATATGAGGGTATTCTACCACTAAACAAAAGACATTTTAACTAGGTCGTATGCAAATAATATTCCACATATGTTTGCATATTTTCATTAACATTATCAATAAATGTTCTATCGACATTCTTTGAGGACATCCGAGACACGTACACGTAGGAATGTAGGTTACGGGACGCTTATTTCTCTGTGGTGCAAGCCTGTTCTAATAATTACTAGTATACGTAGCTAATCAAATTTAAACGAAAATACAAACATGGATTGTGCTTCGTGAGACCATAATGGTCTGTAGACGCAGTGAAAGCCATTGACCTTGTACTTACCCATCGCATCAGACATAGGTATACCGCTGCCTTGCGCATTCAGCCCCGCTGGCATTGTAACGTCAGGATCTGCAGCATTAGCTGCAGTAATTACTTCAAGTCAAAAACAAGAACGTAGCCAATGAGACAATGATGCCTTCCCTCTGAGTTAATGACTGGAAACTATTTTCTTGCCGTGGCATTCTCTGACAAATGCGTCGCTTTTCGTGCCGCTCTTCTCTCATCAGCATCTGGGTCTGTTGTTCTTGAATCTACTGCCCTCATCCCTTCAGCAGAACGCCGCACGGAGCACAGCACTGCGCATGAGTAGGGCAGGAGCAGTAGTGATTGGAAGTGCGACTCATGTTGATTCGGTTCTTTCGAACAGTCCGTTTCAGATAACTGGTTCAAATAATTGATTCAGAGGTTCTTTACGCCATGTCGTGGTCACTGGCATTCATAACACGCTTTTAAGTTTCCAGTGAAGTCAGGCATGACTTTCTGTTTGTAATAATTTCATGTTTCTTATCAATTTATTGCAGCCACGGCCCACGATTCACCTAATAATTTCACAAAGTCTTTTAGAACGTAAATATTATTTGCACTCACAATAAACAATGCTACCATCAATGTACATATATCTTGGGAATATTTGAATAAAATGCTATTTACCAATAATGATACAAATATGTTGTATAGCCTATAGGCAATGCCTAGGCTATAGCCTATGTGGTGATAAAACTGTCAAAAATATATATTTCAGCCTTATCAGAAAATCCCATGGTTCACTTTCAAATGCTCTTATAGCTACTCATCGGCGTTTCCTAAACACTTCGATACCTCGAGATTCAGTCCATTAAAAACATAATTGCATTATACAATTAAAAGCATATTATAATGCAATTATAGCATAATTGCATTAAAAACATCAAACTCCAAAAGAATGACAAAATGTAACTTACATGAACAAGTTGCTGCTATAGTGGAAATCACTACATAATTCTACATATCTTCTTACAGGAGAATTCGTGAAAGAATAATTATTACCTGCCACATACACAAACAGGTAGACAAAGTACACAACTTCCATAGGCGAACGTTACTTGAGTGAAAGTACAGATACTGGTCAAATATTACTCCGTTACAAGTAAAAGTTTTAAAGACCAATTTTTACTTAAAGTCATAAGTACTTAAAGAAATTATTACAAATGCGCATAAGCCCCGTAAGGTCCGCCATGCTGGTTTGTTTACATCTAGCTACCACTATTCCTTGCGCACAGGTAGTTTGGCATGACTGGCCTGGAATGCTACAAAGTCATGAGTCGTGGTTTGAAGTCGTGATTTACGTGCTCAAAAACCTGCCTGGAACGCAGCATTCGACCATTAAATAGTTTTTCACCGTTGCTGTGTTCCGGATTTTTTGGGCGGGGCTAAAACGGGGGCTCGATGACGCACAGAAGCCCCTGGGCTCCTGGACACGCCCCTACTTGATGACGCACTGGAGCCACTGAGGCTGGACCCTGCCCTAACAATAGAGCACATTCGCATCAGTTTTCAATGAGAGATACTTAAGGTCCACAGACTTTAGAGGTTCGAAAGGGGCACCCTTCATGGCCTCCAGGACCAAGGAAAGGTCCCATATGGGAACCAAGGGGGGACGAGGAGGGTTCATCCTTCTAGCTCCCCTGAGGAAGCGGACTACAAGGTCGTTCCTACCCAGTGACTGGCCATGCGAATGTTTGACAAATGCAGCAATAGCCGCCACATATACCTTGAGCGTGGATGGGAATCTACCCTTATCCAAGAGCTCCTGTAGGAAGGAGAGAACCTCCGACACCCCACAATCTTGTGGATCCAGGTTGCGAGCTGAGCACCAACCTGAGAACACTGACCACTTGGAAGCATAAAGCCGTCTAGTAGAGGGCGCTCTAGCTTGAGTAATCGTGTTTAACACTCCGTCGGGGAGACTGACGGGTACCCGTTGATGGCCCACACATGCAGAGCCCAAAGCTCGGGTCGTGGGTGCCAAATCGTACCCCCGGCCTGTGAGAGTAGATCTCTCCTCAATGGGACAGGTCACGGAGCCAAGCTCTGAAGCTGCATCAGCTCCGGAAACCAAACTTGGTTCGGCCAGAACGGAGCTACTTGAAGCACAGAGGAACCGTTCTCCCTGATACGCTTGATTACCTGTGGTAACAGCGTGATTGGAGGGAAAGCATAGAGAGGGCGGCTGGGCCAGTGATGGGCCAGCGCGTCCTTGTTCTTTGTGAAGCATATTGGACACTGAGCATTGTCTTGAGACGCAAAGAGGTCGACCTCCGCTGTGCCAAAGGTGTCCCACAACAGTTGAACTGTCTGAGGGTGGAGGGACCATTCCCCTGGGGGAACGTTGTCCCTGGACAGCCTGTCTGGACCCACATTCAGATGGCCTGGCACATGCGCCGCTCTCAGCAAGAGTAGGTTGCGCTGTACCCATTCAAGGAGGCGTTCTGTCAGTGGGTTCCGTGATTTCAGACCGCCCTGGCGATTTATGTTGGAAACCACCGACATGTTCTCCGTGCGGACAAGGACATGGTGGCCCTTTAGAAGCGGAAGGAAGAACCGCAAGGCGTTCTCGACCGCCTTCATCTCTAGACAGTTTATGTGCAAGATCTTTTCTTGGCTTGACCAGAGGCCAAAAGTTGGTCTGCCCTCGTAGAGGGCACCCCAGCCTGAATTGGAGGCGTCTGTCGAAACCACTTTCAATTTTGAGATTACCCCCAGGTTTACACCTGTCTGATACAAGTCGACCACCTTCCAGGGCTCCAGAGCTGTGACACAGTTCTGAGTTACCTTGAGATGTAAACGACCGGATGCCCATGCTAGACGCAGGACCCGCGTCTTCAGCCAGAGCTGTAAAGGGCGCATGCGAAGCAGACCTAAATGAAGAAATTATTAAGTTGTGAATGGACTGTGTGTTTGGCATGTGTTTTTTTTAAAAATTGCATACTTCACCTCCAATTGTCATGGTAAGGACAACATTATTGTTTTTTAGTCTTGGAACCAATTTTATTGGACTCCTTGACCACAAAAATGTACACGTTGATACCAAATTTGTCATTATAGCTATAACAGAAGCAAATATATGGGCCTCTCAAGTATGGTCGGCGGCCATTTAAAAAAATGTGCGTATACAAGATACAAAATGTGATCTCACTTGTGACTTAGGATAAATTTATTTCTATGGCCCTATGGTACTTCCATACCAAAGGGGACCTTTGCATCATGACTTGAAGTCAAAAGTCACTTAACCTCACTATACTAAAACGACCATATTAAAGTCCCCATGAATTCAAAATTGACCATACTTACTTTGTTTGCCTAAATTGATCGTTTTGTGGTGAACAATTCATCCATGCAAGTCAATCCACACACAAAAAATGTTTGGCTTCATAATCTTTAATCAAAATCTGAAATTTCCCCTCCCCTCTGCATTGGAGGACCTTCCCTGATGACATAGGTTTGACGGTTTGGGTGTCTGCTTAACATCCGTAACCACGCCCCTCCAACTGACAGTAGACAGGCTTAATGAAAACACCTACTTTTCTAGATCCAATTAGGTGCTAGTTGGAAAAAAGCCACGCCCACTATTTTGCCTTATTAGGATTCCGTTTCTCTCGGAAATACGTCACAACACTGGAGAAAAGTCGTTTGCAACTTCCGGTTCACGGGGACTTTAAGAAGAGGTGGATTAATTTTGTGAAGAGCCACCTTGATGGAGAGCTGAGGATCACCACCAACACCCGCCTCTAGTGATCATTTTACACGGGATAGTTTTATAAACTTTTGTCAGAGACAATTGGGATTCACTGATAATCCGCTGTTACTGGTGAATGAAGCCGAACCGACTATCTCCCGCCTCGGCCTTCATCCTGCCGTCCCGAAAGCAGAATCACCTAATATCACCATCGGCAGCTTTCAGGCGAGTGGGCGTGGTTTCAGCGCAGCCAGCGGACACGCCCCCCTGATAGCTTTTTTGATTTACTTGGCGGCTTTTTTTATCATTCAAATTTGGCTGGGTGGCTAATAACAAATTTTTCTGTGGTGTGACAAACTCTTGCTAACTTAATTTTGACTTTACAGGGACTTTAAGTAAAAGTACAGAACTACTTTTACAGGCCTACGTAAGTAGGCTATCAAAAGTAAAAACTAAAAAGTAAATGTCAATGCATTGTTTTATTATTGTTGCATTGTTGTTTGTAGGCTACTTACAATACCTTATGCCTCTGAATCTATGCCTACCTAACCTCATATCAATATCAAATGTATTCAGAACACAGTTCCAGTAGTGGGATTGCACAAATGGATAAACGTTTCTTCAGACATTCTAAAGTTCTCCAACCACTGCGTGTTTGTAAAACCAGGAACAATCACATCCCACCACTCAGAAGTTCTGTTAAACGTCCAAACAGATGGTCTGTGGCGGCGACTTTGCGAAATATGATACATCTGAAATACACAGATTACACTTCTTAGTACACAATATTGCCAGCTAAATTCATTATATGCTTTGTGACGATATAGCGATTGAGACCCTAAACAAGATTAGCTTACCATAGTGCGCCGTCGGGCAAACCGAGTGATCGTCATCTGCGCTTCGTTGTAAGAGTTCCCAGACTCTTTTGTTTTTTTTTGCAGTATTTTGTTTTGCTGCCATCAGCCTCATTTTAAACACATTTCTCCGTCTTGCAGTTAAAAACATCCACATGCCGAGAATCAGGAACACCATCCCCTCGATAGGCTCCATTGTTCCTGTGTTGTGCGTTTGAAATGTGGCGCGTTTACGATGATGTCATGGCAGTAGAGGCGGCGCAAATAACGATCAGTCCCACCCACTTTGAAGGGGTACTAACTACTGCGGTGGAAAAGCAACCGAGCTAAAGCGAACCGAACCGTGCCGTACCGAGTCGAGTCGTACCAGGCAGTGGAAAAGCGAAGCGAGCCGAACCGTTCCGCGCCGAGTCGAACCGTACCGAGCCAAACCGAGCCGTACCATGCAGTGGAAAAGCGCCATAAGTGAACTTAATAACATCCACAGTGGTTTCGGACACCCAAATGGCTTTTCCCAAATAGTGCGTGACGGTGCCCTAATTATAGTTTTTTTGGCTTAGTATGAATATGTTAGCCTAACTGTAATCTATATGCTAGTGTGCTCCAAAAAAAAAGACAAAATTCGCATTTAGAAGACCAAACCCATGCAAAGTTGAAAATGAAAATCAGGTTGATGTCAGAATCCAACACTATTGACATTAATCTCCAACGTTGGACAGACGTATTGTGGTTGAAAATGAAAATCGGATTGGTTCTGACGTCAATCCGCTGGCTTTCATTTCCAACCAAAATGCAACCCCTGCAACCAAAATCTTCCCCTGGCTGATCTTACAACTTTCTACTCAAGGACCTTGAAAGAATTGTAGTGGAGTAAAAAGTACGATATTTGTCTTTCAAATATAGTGAAGTTAAAGTAAAAAGTGTCCATAAAAAATAATACTCAAGTAAAGTAACCTACAGATAGGCCTATACTCAAAAAGTATACAGTACTCAAATAAATGTAGGCTACTTTGTTACTGTCCACCTCTTCAAATAGGCCTACTTAGCGTGCAAAGAAAAGTAGGCTAACAGACTGGCTACATTAAAATACTTTAAGAACATTCAATAGGCCTATTTAGAATAATAATTTGGTGTTGCTATAATAGCCTATATCTTTCTTGACTATATTTTGAATGTCTCTTGAACATGAATCAATATCAAAGTAATGAAAGTGCGCCATCAACTGGTCTTGTGAACAAACACAAATAAGTTTAAAAATAAAAATGAATATATGAATAAATAAATGAATATATATAGGCCAGGCTAGACAATATTTAATTTTATTAACCCGAATTTGTTGCAGGTCTGCTGCATTTTTTGTTTATTTTACTGTTCACTCGTGCAGCTTGACAGCCAACATGCTTATTTAGAAGTAACTTACTCACCCATTCATGGTAGGCTATCTCACACACACTCACATTAATACATAGTCTATTGAGGTGATGCAGAGTTCAAAACGTGTGGAATTAAACACTGTGCCATATTTAAGTGATTTGCTAGCTTATTTAGCCTATAGTCTAATTGTTGCAATACCGCGAGTAACGTACATAGACCTATAGTTGTATTTAAGCAGCCTAAATGGAATTGAATGGAAGTGAATGCTTCGATCACCCTTAATTTTTTACACAAGCAAGCAGGCCTGCTTGTTTCTGTATAATAAAAAATAAAACGCGGCGACATTAATATAGCCAATTAATCTCTGTTCTTCCAGCTTAGTTTTGTCACAAAGTAAATGATTGCATTTGCTCGTTTCAGTCCTTGATGGCCTTTCTTTGAATGACCTGCTCTCCACCAAAGAAGCAGAAAGAACCAGACAAGACCGAATTTTCCATGACGCGAGTTCTTTTGAGGTTTAAAAAAATCAGCGGGTTTAGGGAGCGCAACGTGATCTGTGTACAAATATTAAGCTTGATGACAACTTTCTGAATTTATTACGCTTTTGACGCCAACATAGACCAAAGCGGACCAATATTTCACAATTTTGCGTTTGTCTCCTTAATGCGCGCGAATAGGCCTAGCTAATCTTTCTCCAGTTTAACAGCCCAGTGAGTCAATGGGGATTGTTTAGTGAAGTGTCCTGCATACTAAACCTCACTGTCCTAATGTAGACTAGTTGCTGATGCAGTACTTAGTGATTGACAACGGCAAATGCAGAACAGAACAGAAACTTATAAAGCTGTGGGTTTTTGCATAGAGCTTGTTTCAGTACGACAATGAGACTATGCGGTGTGCGTGTGCAGAATTCCACACAACACCAAACGAAGCTTCTGCCAACAAAACTCCACTTTGTATCCCACCCCCACTTTCCCTCTCCAGCTCAACTCCATTCACTATGATGCTCGACTCCTAGCAAGAAGCTCCTCCACACCCGACATCCGTTGTAAGGGGAAAACTCAATGAAATTCACGACCAGTTCTTGACCAGAATTAACGTTTGTTCAGCCAGCGTAAAGTGAACTTCAAGACATCACACCACTGCCTTCATCAAGACATTATTTTTGGGGGCACTTTGAGCATTAATGTTTTCCTTCCCCCCCTTTTCTTTCCTGAAGACATCGAAATATTCTCTTATCTTCACTTAAAAAGAAGAAGAAGAAGAAATAAGATTGAGCAATTATTTGACTTCCTTTGGACGGCTGCAGACTTAATTCGTGAACTGAAATCTCTCAGTAAATTGCTTGGACCGCTCGTATATGTGATTGGTTTAACAAGTACCTTTATTCTTCAGTGAGAGATCATGGAGCGCGACTCTACCGCGGGAGGGGCGGAGGACCTGCTCCTGGAAGACAAAGTTTCAAAACTGGCAAGTGACCATAACCACAATGCACCAGAGTAATGTGGTTACTTTTGATTAGGGATGAGGGCATTGCAATGACCATATCTTGCTGGATTTAGTGCTCTATAGCCTGCAGTATAAAGTAGGCTACTAAACATTATAGAACCTAGATAACGCGGTTTTGTAGGTCATTTTCTTTTGTATCATTTTTAAACTTAATTTTTGGTACAGAAGGAGTGTCACCAAAAGCGTTTCACCTGTTCATCACTATTTAGGTAAATTTACACTGGCAATTATTCATCATTAGTAGCCTATACTATTAATATTTGATATCTTGTAGTAGAGGCATTTGAAATACCTCTGGTACCTTAAAGGGATAGCTCACCATTTTTTTTATTTTATTCTGTCATCATTTACTCACCCTCAAGTTGTTACAAACCTGTATGAATTTCTTTCTTCTGCTGAACACAAAAGAAGATATTTCGAAGAATGTCGGGAACCAAACAGTTGATGGACCCCATTGACTTCCATAAAAAAAAAATACTATGGAAGTTGAGGTAAGTAAATGATGACAGAATTTTCATTTTTGGGTGAACTATCCCTTTAAGGAGCTGTTTACACCTGAACTGTTAAAAAAGGACTATTATTGATGTAATCTAATGTAGGCAGTTTGATTCAATTATATGAAATAACTTTATTTCATGATCGTTCACAATGCAGTGATATTGAATTTTTTCACAATGTAGAAATTAACATGAACCTGTATTAATAAATGCTGCTAATGTATTTTTCACCAGTTTTTAAAGTGTATTTTATGTGTGTCCTGATATTGAGAACGAGTGTGTAACATCTGGCTGAAGAGTGACCCTGCCGATCTTGTGCAGCTGTGAGAGGTTAGATCTCCCAACATGGGTCAGCGAGTGTGTGGGTCCTCTTCTGCCTCTCATAGATCAATGGGATTCTGAAACTTCTTTCATTCACACTGAATGAGATCCTACACTTGCTTTTAACTGTTTTGAAGATACATATTTGTCTCCTGGCCTTTTTTAAGAGCATCAGACAATATTATCCACATTAAAGTGAGTTTTTACATTTAATGCTTGTTGCAGGGAACTTTTCTGATTCAGAAACTTATTTGTGAATAATATTTTTCAACTTTCCATGTTATCTTTAGCGTGCAGGATCACTTCATAAACACGAACTAGCTGAGGCCATGGAAGTGGAACAGGAAGGACTGGTAGAACATCAGCCTCTGGAGCAGGATGACCTTAACTTTGAGAAATGGAAGCCCAAGCCAAAGCCCAAGAGGACGCTGCATGAGAAAATCGACGACCTAAAGACTTACCTGTGGAACGCCGAAACGAAGGAGTTTATGGGCCGCTCGGGGAAGAGCTGGAGTGAGTAATGAGACAAAATTATATTTGAATGTACACAATGAGATACCTGTTTTAATGGCAAAACAAAGGGTATTTGTCTGTGGGTGAGGGAGTGCATCTAAATTGTACTTGGACTGTAAACAAAGTCTTCAATTAGTGAAGTTCTGTCTGGCCGTAGAAGCAAAGGCAAGTGAGACCATTGCTTATTGTGTTTGCTCATTATTTTCCATGTTTAGTGGAGTTATTTGTAGTGTAGTTGTAATGAGTTGTGGGGATGAATTGTGCTTCTGCTTGCTCAGACAGAAAGTTTGTGTGCGTGTGTGTGTGTGTGTGTGCACGCTGTCACTGAGGGTGCATGTGTGTGTGCATGTCCAAGCTTACTGTTTACTTAGGTGCACAGAATAGCTTAGAGACATCTTGACAAAAACAGACTGCCTGGGGAATGGTCCTCAGTGGGAGAGCGAATGTCACAGTCCCTTTGCTGGCCCGGGATCACATTCCATTTACCCCTACCGTGCTTTCCTCTCCCTCTTTCCCAAAGCCCCCTTGACCTCCAGATCTCCTCCAATACGCTCTCAAATCTACGGCGCAATTTAACATGTAGTGTTTTTTGTGTGTGTCCGAGCTCAGAACTTTTTTGGCAGTGAGCATTTCCTGAAGAAGTCCCATGATGACAGAGCAGCCAATCGTTGCAGCTAAACGTCCGGTTGCTGAGCAACACAGCAAATTCCCATTGGGACGAGTACTTTAAACAGCAGTATGAAAGTGTCCTGGGGATAGCAGAAAAAAATGTCAATGCACCAATGCCCTCGTATTGAGTGTGGATGTAATGCAACATCTCCCACTTTAGATGGGCATGATATGATGGGGAATGTGCTTGAGGTGGATTAAATAAACAGCCGTAGTCTTCCTTAGAGCAGGGGAGGGGCTGCTGGAGTGCTGTGATGCGTGTCCCATGAAAGGAGAGTGCAGAGGCCTCACAATGCCAGAATGGGGTGATCGGGCTCCTTGGAGCTGGCTGTGGCTCTGTATGGCTGCAAAAGACCGTCACTATGATGGCAACCGGAGGTTCACTGTGTTCCTGAGTGAAAGGACAGCTGGGAGAATTTTCACTAGGCTCAAACAGAAAGGCCTTTGTGGCTGGGGGCTGCAGCTAGTCCCTGCAAAATTGTCTGCGCAGCAAAAGCCGCCCCGTTTGACGACCCGTCCCATTCGATCAGCTGTTAATGGAGTCTTAATTGAAAATGAAAGGACAATGGTTGCGCTTCGTTTTTTAACTCTCAAAGTTTTATTGACTTTAGTGTCTTGAACTCTTCCATAACAGAAAGGTTATGGAAAAATAAGTACTAACAAATGAAAAAGTTTAGCGTATTGGAATGGTCAGTTGATTAAAAGAAATTATTTTATGACAAAATGTGTTAACTTGATCTCACATTCTATTTATGCAATTCCTCAATATGTGAATCAGTTATTTTAATAAAGGGGTTTCCTCAATGAAATCTTGCTTTATTCATCTTTTTTCAGGCCTTATTCTGCTCTTCTACTCAGCATTATACATTTTCCTCGCGGCCATGTTTGCTGGTTGTATGTGCTGCCTGATGTGGTCGATTAGTCCATATGCTCCCACCTACAATGACAGGGTGATGCCACCAGGTTGGAAAAATCAGCATTTTACTTTTTGAACATTCAAAAAGTATGTACAGTACTGTGCAAAAGTCCTAGGCACGTTAATATTTTCACCCAAACAATGATTTTAAGCCAGTTATTTATATATTTTGCTGTAGTATATCAGTAGGAAATATCAGTTTACATTTTCAAACATTACTTTTGTCATTAATTGTAATAATCCAGTGAGATTTTTGTATGCACAAGGAGTCTGACAACCGCCGGGTATGATCCACACGAAGATCTGATCTCACCATCATGAGTCCGTCTGTGATTACATGAAGAAACATAAAAAAACTGAGACAGACTAAATCCAGAAGAACTGCAGAAAAGTCTCAAAAACGCTTGAAGTCAAAGCTACAGTACTGCGAAAGGTTTTCAGAGATCAGATCTCAGTGTGGATCATACCGGCTGTTGTCAGACAATTAATGGCAAAAGGAATGTTTGGAAATGTAAATAATGTATATATATAATTCTTTTTTATTTTATTTATTTTTAATAGAAATTATTTAATATGTATATCATTTAAATTTGGAGAATAGATGGATGGATGGATTATTTAAAATTGCACTTGTTTAGAAATTAACAATATTTTTTTTAATTTAAAATAAAAATCATTATTCATTATTTCAATCATTATTTTATTATTCTAAACTGTATTATTATATAAGTACATGAACAAAATTCTAATACAATCTTCTCTGTCTCCTGGCAGGTTTGACAATGTCACCTCATGTAGAACATGTTGCTCATGGGTTTGACATTGCTTTCAACGCCTCTGACCAAAAATCGTGGAAGAAGTATGCAAAAGCACTGGAAGCCCATTTGAAACGTAAGTCCTGCATGAGAGAACTAGTTGAACAACTAATTTAATAGGGAAGTTACGTTTTCTGTTCAGCGGGCACAGATTCAAATCGCTCCAGCACGCTGTTTAACAAGTCCTGCTGTCTATAGAAATACTGACAAGGAGGGAAACCCTTTTATTCACTCAGTGTAACTGTTCAGTGCTGCCAGGGCCCCACTTTTTGTGCTGGCCTGTAAGTTGTAGAGGCCAGGCTGGGCCTCAGCCATTGTTTGGTTAATTTATGTTCTCTCTCTCTCTATTTTTCTCTTCCATGTCTTTTATTATGGTTTCCCGCCATGGCCATATCCAGCCTATGATGATAAAGTGCAGGAGAGGCGGAACATTCCATGTGAAGGAAATACGTATTTCATGCAGGACGACTTAGAGGAGAGTGCCGAGCGCAAGGCATGTCAGTTTAAGAGGTCCATGCTGGGCGAATGCTCCGGCACGCATGACAAAGATTTCGGATACTCTAAGGGCAAACCCTGCATCATCGTCAAAATGAATCGGGTGAGATTATAATAGCGTGGAACATACTATACAAAAAATGATTTTGGTGGCAGAACAAAGCCCCCCCCAAAAAAACAGAATAAATAAAGCTCTGAAGCTCTAGTGCCATCTTGTGGTTAATATAAGCGATGACTAAATGAACACATCCTGAAGTTTATAATGTAAGTAGTCCAGTCTCAATAGCTAGTTAAGTGGTATGTAAAAACACTTGACTGTTTTCTGACAGATTCTCGGGTATCTGCCTGGTCAAGGCACTCCAGTAAACGTTACATGTGGAGTAAAGGTAATAATTAATGACTGGCATAATCCATTTATACTGTATAAGAAGTTATACAATAACTATTTAATACATTACATAACCATTACATACATACATTCCAATTTTGGTTGTTCTCCAATGATTTTCCAGAAAGGGTCAACTGAAGTCCTCGGAGATGTCGAGTTCTTTCCAAACAATGTCTTCAACTTGCGGTACTATCCCTATTATGGGAAACTGAGACATGTAAGTGATCCCATTTCACATCTCAGAATCCCTAAAAATTCAATAGCATTTCATAGTATTTTTCCCCATTTCTACAAACAGGTAAACTACTCTTCCCCATTGGTGGCTGTGCGCTTTTCTGGAGTCCAGTCCGAGACCCAACTACATGTTCAATGCAAACTAAACGGCAAGGGCATCATCAACGATTCAGCAACCGACCGTTTCCTGGGTAGCGTGTCTTTCACTTTACAAGTGGGGGCGTAGGATCGTAGAGAAATTGAAATGAAAATTCTCAGAGTATGTTATAATGAATGAAATAGCACACTGGGTGCTGTCTATACCCATTAGCCCTCTGATTATGCCTCCGGCAGCCACTGTGCTATTCGTGTCAGAGCTGTGTTACTTCACTACTTTTTCAAACTAGGGATTTCCCAGTAAGCAAAGACTGAGATTTATAGATCACATTCAGTAACGTAACATTCAGTACCCAGCCACTAGAGACTCACACCTGCCTTTGTTTCATTATTGGATAAAATAAAAATATGAAAAGATGTCCAAATACGTAGATCACCATTATAGCTACTGAGGCATAATCACTCCAACGAACAGTCTACAGTGAGACGTAGGCAAAACAAATCTCTAGATCTGTGTAGATTATAGAATTAACATGTATTAAAACTTATATTGTTATTTTGGTAATTCAGATGTGTATATAACACATTAAAACAACTTTTTATTTTTATTTTGATGTTTTTCTCCGTTAAGTCACCGTCTCTATTATATTCCCCCTCTGGACGAAAAAAAAAAAAAGGCAGAAAATGACTTACATTATCTTTTTACTTGCTCATTTAATTGAATAAAAATCAGATGTGATTAGAATTAATAACTGATTGTACATTTTTGGACTAAATTTTTATTTTTATTTTTTGGATACTAAATTTTGATTCCAGAGGCAAATGTATTTTACTGAAATCCCATTTCATAATTTTCAGAGCTTCATAATTAAATACAAGTTGATCTTTCTTTTGTCGAGCATGCAACCAACACTTCTTAAAAACGAAATAGATTATTTCACAATTCATCTGAGTGAAAATATCTGCTCAGTTACCTGTAAGAAGGATTTCAACAGTATTATTTATTAATTGTATTTGAATATATTGACATGGTAAAAGCAGTGTAATAGTGAGATGGAAATTGGTAATTGCACATCTTTGTTATTCAGTAAATACATTGAAATATCCACTGGCTGACAAAGATATTCCAGCTCATGTTTTTAAACGCACTCATGTTCTAGCATAAACAATAAAGATGGATGAGAATTAACCGGAATCAAACCTTTCTGCTCAGTTTTCCATTGTCTTTTAAAGTAACATCAGTTGTGATGTGTTTTGCAAATAATGTGTCTTATGATAAATTGCATGTGATGATCTTTTTTGTAGGATAAATGACAAAATGTTAAACCCATAAATCATACAAACAAAAACATCAGCACTACACACAATCATGTGCATCTGATAAGCAGTTTTTACTGTTATATGCAGGTCAAAGAGAGACACTTCTATTCCAGTAAGAGACATGGTACTGACATCAGTAACTTTTATAGCAACACTGCTGATCAAAGTCCATCAGGAGAAGCATATATAATCCATAATCTCTATGACTGTAAAAGTCATGTGAACCACGTAAAACTACAGTTGTTCAACATATCAGGTCTAACACTTTGAGAAATGTTGATTTCATTAAGTCAGAGCAAGAAAGGGAACAAACAGAGAGGAAGAAAATACTGTACAAAAACAAAAAGCTATTTTATTGAAATTTTTTCCACTCTGAAACTTGAACCAACATTCTTAACTTGAGAGATATAGGTCCAATAGAAAAAAGAAAAAAAATGCAACTAAAAGGCACATTATAGTACAATGATATTTTGTGTTTAATTGTGTTTGTTTTAACAGCTAAACCCTTCGGGCAGGAAAGGAATAAAAAAAAAAAAAAAGTATATCCATGAAATGGTCTGGACACATTCATATTTTCACTATGCTGAGCAGGAATTGGACTGAAGATGCACTGGAAACTGTAGCTTTGGTCTTAGAAACGGTGTACATTGTATGCGTGTGTCCAGAGAAATGACCAACTAAATTCACAAATCCATGTACTAACAGGCCTATTTTAACACTTCCAACATTCCCTGAGAGGGACCTAATGAATCAACAAAAGCATAAATCAACACAATCCTCTTTAAAAATGCTGGTACGTCACACACACAAAAAAGTGTCCCTTCATAATACAATGTGCTAAGTGCAAGAATGTGACTTATTAGCTCTGCTGATTAAGAAAATGTGCCAGTATACTTTTCACCCTTAATTTCGGCCACAAACAAAAAAAAACCAGCAAGATTACAATTACAGAACTAATTGAGGATTTACATTCAATGGTTAATAAACAAGGGATTCCTAATTCTAAAATTGCATCATTCATTCATAATAGTTCACATGAATTTAAGTCACAGCAACCAGAACTGAGTGTCCATAGAGCAAGAAAATGCATCAAAACTCCCATAAACAGAGGAAATCATTTTTTTTCCTTCATGCATTTAACATATAGCACAATGCCAGGTTATTTAGACAGCCTGTGCTTACACTAAACAAATGAATCATGCCAGTTGACATTGCTTCGAGTGTGATTAAGCAGAAATATACCACATAATTCATAAAAAGTTTAAATCGTACACAGGAAATTAAATGATTAGAGCAATTAGACATGTTAGAAACTGTGGTGACATCAGCAGTTAGTGCCACCAAGTGAGGAGGGTCAAGCAGTTTGCAGTGCAAAAGAGGAAGCCAACAGGACCAGAAGAGAGGAGGAGGAGCAAATATAAGTGGCAAAGGACAAGCCGGGGTTAGAGGTAAGATGGCAGCAGCTTGAGTTATACAGACTGGTAACCAGTGCGACTCTTCCGCCGGCCAATCAGGTAAGAGATAAGCACTAAGATGATTAGGAAGCTGAGAGCCACACCCACAGCAATGGGCACGAGAAAACTCAAATCAGAATCCAGAAAGCATTCCTCCGCTGGGAGAAAAGGGGAGAGAGAAAGGGGTGGTGAGTGACATACTACTGCTGATTTTATTCACAACAGAACTAACAATTCAGTCAGACCGATGCAGAATAGGTGTTATATTATGTGCCATACAGGCCTACCTTCTAAATCACCACGTTATAATGTATTGACAAGAAAATACAAGTTCATATGATACGACTCATTTCAAAATAATTTATGTGCACAAAAATACCGAAATAAACTGATTCCTGAATTTCTGCAAGATTTGTCAGCATGTGCATGGACACTTGACATTCTTTGATTATTAGGATTCAAATTGCTCATAGCCAGAGGTTTGACTTCTCTTTCTTCCAATCAGATAGGCCAGTAAGACAATAACAATGAGGACAGCCAGGGCAACTCCCACCGCTATAGGAACAATGAAGTTATCAGGCTCATCTCCTTTGCAATCCTCAGCTGAAAATAAAGAAAATGAGTAAGGGAAAAAACACACAGCCATTATGTTTTAAAGTGCAATTGAATCAAATTTGTTGACATTTGCATGATGTTTGTGTTAAAGGGTGAAAAGATGGCCCACACCAATTTTAATGTATACACAATTGTCTCTCCATTTATTGCAGCTAAAAGCCGATTAAAACGTTTCCATTGCAAAACCTCACAAAACAATTTTAGGGCAGTCAGATAAGGAATCCTTTTTTACAAGTTTGCTGGCAGAAAACGGTAACAAAGTATGCTCAGGGGGAAAAAAAAAGACAAATATAGATTCATTTTATTTTAAAAAGTTATTGATAAGTGATAGGATGGCAAGCAAAAGTAACTTCATCAAGCAAGGCACAAAATTACCAGTAACCAGTTTTGAAGGTTTAATTTATCCTGGCTATTGTGAAAAAAAAAAAAAACATTTACACAAGATTCTGTGCGGGTGCTGCAAAGACTAAATTAGAATGGTGCATAAACTGAAGAAAAATGTACCACAACTGAAAAACAAAAAAAAACCTACTGTGAAACCGTGAAGCCATTATATGTGATAAATAAGACATAAGAGAAAGCAAATAACGTATTCTGAAAAGGCTCAGCAACTGAAAACCAAATCATGTAAAATTTATCATGGTGTGTGAAAAAAAACCCCACAGTCACTATCAAAGATTCCAAGCTGGTGCAAAAGATTCTTGCAGCAAATACAATTCACAGTAGTATTAGCAAGGAGCAGCATGTATTTTAGGCTATAATAGTAGCTGTAAAGAATTCAAAATTACGGTAGAAGCTGACAAGATATTTAATTTAGAACTCATCTTCCCTTTTTAAACTCCATAAAAAAAAAAAAAAAAACTAAAAAAACACTACCAAAAAATATTTAGTAACAGCATTTATATGCAAAAAACACCAGGCCTACTTTTATTACAATGGTTTGTGTTTTTAAAATGCTTGTCATGAAGTTTAAACATTCGAGCATTTGTTTTTCTGTTCTAGAATTTCAGTTGTTTGAAAAGACTATCCAGCATGTTTAGATGTTTTCTCAGTGTAGCAATCTCCCTCAAAGCCACTCAAAATACAAGATGACCAACACACTGCAAAAGCACTTGATCTCAATAAAAGTCAGTTGTCCAGTCACTATAATGCACAGTAACAACCCGTTTCTGGAAGTACTTTTAATATTTAACCAAAATGCTACAAGACAGGTGAATAAAACACTGTTTCAGTTTAAAGCTGTGGATACAGTAATGATGGGCACAAATTAAATGAGCCAAACTAATCAAATGAACATAAAAGGAATGTCTAAGAGAAGCAAGTGCAGGGTCTGATATGGAGCAATTAAACTTTAAATTGACCACAAAACTACGTTGTTCTTGCCTATGAATATTTTGAACAGCATGGTACTGTGACTGTAGCATTAATTTGCATTTTAAGAGATAGAATAGAGAAACAAGACCATGCACTTACTCCTTACTTGGGGGTGGGGGGGGGGGGGGGGGGGGGGGGGTGCACGCACACAATTAATTCACAATAGGGAGCTCTGGTCCTGGAGTGCCACTGTATCTTCAGATTTTAATGTGTTGCAGTTTAAGGGCAAGTGTATTATTATAAGGACAATTTTTTTTTACTCCTGTGGCCCCGAGTTAATTGCCAATTGAGATTGCACAAAAACCCACAATATTAACAATGGTCCAGGAACAGATTGTGCGTCCCTTAAAACACTCAGAATTTGATTCTTTGATTTCGTTGCATTACAATGTCTGATATCCAACATAGGTCCTTCGTCGACCAATCACGTATGCAATCACAACAATGAAAATCAAACCAGCCAGAGCGGCACCAACAATGATTGGGATTAAGAGGCTGGTGTCATCCATTGAACATTCATGGGCTGCAGACAGAGAGAACATGAATGAAAATAAGATGAAGCTGCTATCTTCTAATTAATACCACTGCAGATATTCACAACACTTCAGACACAAATCACAGACACTTGATCTGGTAATACTGGAGACCTCTCTTTGAGACCTCATAGATAGTGGTACAATTAAGCATTTGTTATTAGATGAAAAAAAGATATATATAGCAGCAAATAAGCATATTAGAATTACATCTGAAGGATAATGTGACACTGAAGACAAATAATGGATGCTGAAAATTCAGCTTTGCCATCACAGGAATAAACTACATTTTAAAACAGAAAAGTTATTCATTTGTAATACACAATGTCGCAGTTTTTACTGTATTGGATCAAATAATTGCAGCCTTGGTGAGACACTTAAAACATCCTTTCCTCACAGTAAGCATACAAAAGTAACATATTCAGATCTATCAGGATTGATTTTGCAAGAAATTTCAGACCTCTGTCATTCATCTTTTTGTGTTGAAGTAAAGTAAATTTTGCATATACATCCTTCTTACTATCAGTTATCTTGGTGTAGCTAGTCACATCCATTCTGATATGATCACAGAAACAATGGGTCTCATTCACAAAGCATGCGTATGCATAAATTTGTGAGAAACGTGCATTCGAACGAGTTTGAGAACAAATCACGATTTACCAAAAATGTCTTACTCTAAATTTACGAAAAAATATTGGAACTGAAACCACACGTACGCAAAAAGCACTTACTCTATATGGCCTTATAATAGTTTTAAGTTATATTAAATAATCCATATGTAAAACTATATAATACAATTCTATCATATACAGTTAAAGAGTAAGAAAAGCTGCAATGTTTCTCTGAATAACGCAGGTATACGCACGTGTACAGCTGGCTAATGAGAGGTCTGTATAAAAAGATGTTTGTGAGAACTAGCAAGAATGGCACACTTTGCATTGCTCGAGAGTGCGTCTGCAAAAAGCAGCAAGTTTGACAAGAGTGATGAAAGGCTGTAAGGAGAGTGTGAACGGAAAGCCCTTATATGGAGATGGTTTGGGCGTGTTTTATGCAAATGACTAACCTTGTGCACGTGCCCGCTCATTAAGAAAACTCCAAATTCACTTCCATCAGAATGATGTAAAGAACAAATTCATGTGCGTACAAACGTGTTGCGAATTAGGCGGAGATTTTTCGTGAAAAGTTCTCCTGTGCGTACAAATACTAAATCTACGCAATTATTAGTGAATGTGACCCAATGGGTTTATCAGATTGCAGTGGCTGCATTTCACACTAACAAGTGAAAGATTGTCACAGAACTGCTTTGGTTTTCCAGTGGTCACAGACCACTCTGAAAAGCAACGCGCACTGAAACTGAGAGTGAGCCGTAGTGGGAGTAGAAAAGTATCTGACAAGTTACCGTACTAAAGGACACAGTCCAGTTAAGCATTATATACATGCTGTACAATTACTTCTGATAAGGTAATTAGCTCAGCTTCATTCTTTACAATCACAAACGCACACAAATACATACCTGTGCCAAACATGTTATTCTGGACTGCGAAGGGCTGCACTTGTAGCTCGAACGTGTTGACGGTAAGCTTGTCTGAGATGTTGTAACTCTGCTCTTTCCTGCACATGTATGAGCTCCCAAAAGATGCCTCCCACAGAGATAGATTATAATTGGAATCCCTGAAAATGCTCCCTGTTGAGGTCACAAATCAGAGGACAGATTACGTAAGAAATGCAGCACCTTTAAAGATGCACAATATATTGTCATATTGCTTAAGGCTGATTGAAATGGCCAATATCGACCGATACAGAAATTCTCTTAGTCAAGACAGTGGAAATTAGTGCACACATTTGAGCATAATCACCAATTTAATACTGTTAAATGTAATCTTCAGCAAATATCCATTTCTCACACTGTACATAATAGTGATGCCTAAATTCACTTGTAACATTAAAACATATTTTAGGTGTTGCATTATTTTTTTTGGCCATTTACAGTTTTCACAATAAAAAATCTTACCATTTCCAAGATCAACGGAGAATTCCAAAGCATGTAGACGAAACTTCTGTGAAACCTGTAAAAACAAATATAGTAACCTTATATCATGTGAATGTAACATGTTGAACTGGCAATTTAGTATTAATTTGTATGAAAATGTAAGATTTGTATGAAGCATGCATGGACCACCCCAATCCCATCCCTAACCCTCAGTGGGGCGTAAGCAGACCGTGCAAAAATTTAATTGTACAAATTCATAAGAAATACCCACAGTGAACAATACTTTTAGACCCCCTGTGGTGAAAATCAAGTTAATGTTTATAAGCCAATGTGGCGTTTTTAAAATACTTTTAGACAAACCATGATGTTGTCATCAGTCAACACCATTGCGGAGTATGTCAACGTGAATCCTGTCAACTTGTGGGGCGGGGCTTTTCCTATCATTCATGTTAGTTTATAGTTTAACACCATGCCAGCTACCCCGGCTAAATTCATGGTGAGAAAGATTTATAAAAAAATAAAAATTTGGTTTTCAAATTTTATTGTAGATTGAACTCTTTTAGACTTTATTTTTCAGTTGAGTCTTAAAATATGCTTCAGTGATAATGGATTCTGGCAAGAGGGGATCATGGAGGATCTTCACCCGTTAACAGAAACATGAGTTAGTCTGGACTGCCCTACTTGACTGTGTGTACTGTGTAGGTAATATTATCTTTTATTCTTATACTTATATATAGCAGGTGGATTATGTACATGTGTTTTATGATGAATTATGTCTTTTTCCACTGACTTTCTATGATGTTTAAAGCATTAAGGATGCTGATCTTAAGGCAGCGGTCTAACTCCCGAGAAGATGTACGGGAACATGGTTTGTACTTTGTATCATTAGCTACACATTATTAGCCATTTAATAACAGTCAAGCAAAAGGCTAATCATATCAATTACTGTTATGTGTCTTGACGTTGTAGAGAGCGATTTATAAAACACATTACCATTCTGATAAATCAACTTTTAGACAAGCCTGTATAATTCACTCGTCCTCTTCTGAATCAGTTTCTGGTTCAAACATATATGGCTGAATGAAACCAATATTTACACTTGCGTTTACTACAGTTGAGCGAGTGGATCAGGTAGTTGGTGTGATTGAGTGGAGGCGGGGATTAATATACTAAATGTAACAAGGGTGTAGTTACATTTAAGCCATTTTAAGGCATGAAGGATCACAGGAAAAAAAAGAAGTGTATATATATAAAAAAATTCTTTATCAAAGATGAGTTAAGGGATAAAATTAACAGCAGGGGGACTTTAAGAACTGTCATGAGTGTGAATTAGTCAGAAGACAAACAACCCAGAAAATGTACCTCCCTTTTGACAATATATTTGACTCGCTTCTTTAAAGACTTACGTTTGTGAAGACAAAAAGAACAGTCATTTCCTTTGACTTCAGTACAAGGGAAGAGTCATGTCCACCAATTCCACAGGTTCCACTTGCTTCCGTTACATTAGGACTTGGGTCAAGATTAAGAGTCTGAACGCTGCCATTCTAAACAGCAAGAATAAAATAACACTAGCAGTGGCGTGAGAGTATTACAACAAATTTGCAATAAAAGATAACATAAATCTGCAGTCCTCTATACAGATCGTTTCATACATACCCCACTTATTTTGAAGCTGAACTGAAGGCCCATCTTTGCCAAAAGGCAGGCTGAGACGTTGTCAGACTTGACGTTGTAGTTTCCAACAGTTGGGTTGGGGACAGGAGGAGTGGTCGGGGGAGGAGTCGGGGCTGTTGTAGCATTTGGGTGTGTGGTAGTTGGCACTTGAGTGGTAGAATTCGTTGTGTTGTGATGCATGGTTGTTGGAGGTTCTGTGGTGGCATTAGTCGTCTTGTGTTGTGTGGTAGTTGGAGGTTCTGTGGTGGCATTAGTCGTCTTGTGTTGTGTGGTAGTTGGAGGTTCTGTGGTGGCATTAGTCGTCTTGTGTTGTGTGGTAGTTGGAGGTTCTGTGGTGGCATTAGTCGTCTTGCGTTGTGTGGTAGTTGGAGGTTCTGTGGTGGCATTAGACGTCTTGTGTTGTGTGGTAGTTGGAGGTTGTGTGGTAGTTGGAGGTTCTGTGGTGGGATTAGTCGTCTTCTGTGGGGAAGTTGAATTCACACCAGCATGAGTGGTAGCTGTGTGTTCAGAGGTGGTTGGAGCTGTTGTAGTCTGCATGACTGGGAGTTTGCTTGTACTGGGCTCTGCAGGTAGCGGTGAGGTCACCAGATCATCAGCATGTACAATACCTGTGGAGGGTGAAAGCAGAATATTATAGATGAATGCACTTATTTCCACATCGTTACGGGGTTTCCCCATGTGACACTGGGAATGCACAAACCTGCCCTTTTAACTTTCCAAAATCAATTTTAACTTGTTGTATAATAAATGCCATAAAATACATGAAGACAGATACTCGGTTCATTATTTCACCCAAAGTGAAAGAATTTAAGCAAACCAAAGTCTTTCAACCACCTCCATGCATAAGGAAATAAAAACCGCAATCCAAGCACATTCCAAAAGCTTTCCTGACTTCCTGACAGCAAACTAACACTCCAAAAGATTTAATTTGATCTGCTGTTGTCTAGGACAACTGACTTAAGGCTGAAATACAGAAAAACAGTTTTTGGCAGATTTTTCTTCGACCTGCAGATTTTAGGCAGACAGTTCAGATTTCAATAAAAAAATTAAAATAAAAAAAAACGCAGTGTAAGATGGGCACATATTTTGTAGCTTCAAACTATGACTTTATAAATACCATCAGACATGTTTGATATTACTCTATTGGCATACCATTTTTCACATACTATATAGCAGGGAAATATTCCATTTTAATGCACTGATTGTTTTCATTTGTCATTCATCTCCAAGCAACAAGGCACACATTTATCCACGAGTTTGTGTTCAGAACGACCTAAAAGCCTGGTAGTGTGTGAACCTCAATCATTTAGTGTATGATGCCCAGTTTGTCTTAAACCATTTACAAATCTGGCAAGTGCATGATGCCTAGGGTTTTAAAATTTTCAGATTTTAAAAGTTGTGTAACCCATTCCAGCTTTAAGATCATGGGCACTGGGTGACTGTCCCATCCCATAGTTTGATTAAATCATTAACCTGGTGCTTTCATCAAAGGGAGTCTCTAGTGCACCACACACAAACCCATCACATGATTATGAACGAGTGGGGCAGAGAAATACAACGAATAAGCACTTCAGGGTCACATGGTTGTGAAGTTAAATGAGTCAAATGAGAGAGATCTATGGCGTTATTTCCTTACATTTCAGCTGAACTAATTGAAATCATTAAAATGAAAGTGGCAAAATCACTGAAGTTAAAGTTTGCATTTTTGCATTTCATCTAATCTGATCATATTTAACGCACTTTAGTTAACATAACTATACATGATTTACTGGCTTTATTACTACCTAGCTTGAATTAGCCCGGCTGTGTCTGAAAACCTACTGAACTTCCAACCTAGACACCATTACTGGATATCAAAAAAAACTTAAAATGTTGAGTCCAGGATGCCCATTATTGAGGTCCATGTAGACAACAACTAGCAGGCAGAGACACGGCCAGGAGTTTATATATAGCTCAATGCTCAGTTTTACTAATAACACAAAATATTCACCGTTTCCTAAAGATATTGGAGCTGTTTTTGTTTTAATCTAAACTCGCTGGTAATGCTCAGGGTATCTATTAACGCATTTTATTTTGGAAATTATTTATCACTTTGATTAGTATAAATGTATTTAAAACAAGGACAAAGACAGTAAAACCTGTATCCCACAAGCTGACAGTCTTTCTGATTATCTAACGCGCTTTTACTGGCGTAGGTAAGAATTCACGCTAATGCTAATGCTAAAAGGCTCTGGCGCTCCTGTGGGCCTGCGTAAACCTCTCAAAAATAAACTTCAATATCTGCTTTCGAAACGTGACACCGTCTGAAATAAAGTACTCAACAAAATAATCGCACGTACCACTCAGCAGAAAAAAGAGCAAGGTCACACAACCGCGGACAGCCATTGCGACGGGTGGATGGTTCCTCAGAGCAGACAGACACTAAACGACGGCCGGACTGAGTGTGACCCGGTTTAGCAGCAGCAGCTGTGAGTGTGACTGTGATGAGCTCAGCCTCAACCTGCGCTCTTATAAGTCATATGACACGACTGCTCTCCTCCTCCTGCTCGTTACGTCGAGTTTACGAATTACTGTTGATTTACCAAACCTGTGTGTAATTAATAAATCAGACACAGAAATGTGTTATTCCTGTATCAAAACGCAATTAATAAGCAGACCATGGGTCTAGTAAACAGTGACATACAAAAAAGGTTAAGTTTTTGTTCTGTGTGAAGGTTTTAATGTTATGAAAAGATATGTCATGATCACACAAAACTATTATACATATTAATATTATTATAGACATTTTATTATTCATACCAAAATAGTATCCATGTAAGCGCTGATTTCCTTCTGACAGTCAGATTTAAAGCACATTTTAGCATCTTTTATTTTGATACATTGTGCATCCGGGTTTTTTCTCAAGTTGACAATTAGACTTTATAATTCTTGCTTTATTAGCTTTCATGTGTGTGACCATTTAATTTGAATAAAGTCCTTAAGCCACGTGTCAAATGCAATTTCTGAGGCTAGCTGTCACATTTGTTTGTACTTTTTTGCAGTGAATAATTTATGGTTAGGTTTGTATATTAACTGTTTGTTCATAGTTAGGATCCTCATTGTTGAGGTCAAATTTACCCTAATTGGATTCAATACAATTCACCAAAAATCACACTACAAAAACAATCCTCTGGTAAACAGCAAACCTTGAACACTGATACCTCTCACACATTCCAAAAATAAATAAATAAACAAAAAAAACATGAGAACACATGATTCACAGTTTTCATAAAGTGTTGTAACTTTTTTCTCTGTTGTATTTTAACCGTAAATCAAAGGTTAGCTGAACATATGTTGACCATTTGTGACCCAGTAGTGGGAACATTATACAGTAGGCCTATGTTATACACTTTTTTCATCTTAATGAAAACAGTAAAACAAAATTAAAACATTTTTAAAATCTCAAAGCGAAAAAATCAAGGAAAGCAGAAATAAGGCAACAAAAAAAATCCAGTTTACATACAAATTTTAATTAATCAATTGTATAAAATTACTTAAACGCATTTGACATCCTGCCCCCATTAAAATGTGACAAATTGGCCTGAGCTGACATTTCTGGACAATGTCCTTTAAAATTGTCAGTAAAAATAAAACTTCATTATAGTTGGCCACAACAAATTTAATGATATTGAAATTTTAGCTTGACGTATATAATTCACAAACATTATTGTAATTTAAGGCAGTCTTGAGTGAAATAGGACTATTTTTACAGGTGTTTTTGAGAGTTTTGTGACTGGACATCGCATTATGTGTTGGCGCCCCCTGCTGGAGGATCCGAAACGTCAGGCCGCGCGCCTCAACAGCAGCTGCGCACAGCAACGGGCGAAAGTACTTCCGGCGGGTCAGCGTCGCCTCTTAGAAAAGTTACTATTTCCCCGCAGGCTTGTCCTCAAACCGAAAACACCAGCCTATTTCCCGAGCAGAAACACAGCGTTCAGCAGAATGCTTTAACGCAAACAGTCCTCGAAGAAAAGCAGTTTGTAATCCAACGGACTTTGTGCAGCGCGCCGGAGTGTGTGCTCGAGCGAGAGGAAGCAGTATTCAACCATCTTTCCTCTGTTGGCAATAACAAGAGCAGAGAAGGGTCCAAGTGGGGCTGCACTTCTCATTTTATCCTATTTTTTCTCTTTAATCACACACGGAGCCGCGAGGTTGCACTCCCGCCGACCGAGACCGAGGAATATAAAGCGTCCAAACCCGGGATCGTAGCATTAAGTTAACGTTAGTAGATTAGCGATTTGATTTAGTATTTCTTTTTTCATGTTTCCAACAGGTTTACCTTCCCCTAATCCCCCACCACCAGCCCAAGAGCCCAAACCGGTAGCTTCTGATGTCCACAACGACAGTAGTTTAACGTCTTCTAAGAAGAGGAAAAATAACAGTTCAGAAAAGGAACATATTGATTCGATATCTTCGTCTCCTAAAGCCATTTGTAATTCCTCGTCCACAACGTCCTGCTCCTCCAGTTCACAGCAGCTGCAGCAGCACATCCAGAAGAAGTTGAGGTTCGAGGACCCGCTGGATTTGATCGGGCTGGATGTGAAAATGGCCGAGGAGTCGTGTAACCCTGCCGAATCGTGTTCAAAGGCGAGAAATGTGTTCCTGACTGGAGGTGTTGGGCATCATGCGAACGGACTGACCAAGTCTGCGGGCTCCGCCACCTTCTCCAACAGTAAACCCGGTGCTGCGAAGAAACTTGTTATCAAGAACTTTAAAGGTAGGTGAAGAATCGTTGGTCCCCTCGTCTTCTTTGTAAACAGGCTGTGTTTGTTTTAGTTTCTCAACTTAACGAGGTTTGACCAAACGCACATGTGTTGTCCAGAAATGATGCCCAGTACAGCCACGACCTAATGCAGTTGTAAACAGCTTCAATAACTGGCTTATAGAAGATAAATGCTGTGCTAGTGTCACGACTGAGACCATATTTTAATACGCACTCATATTTTTTATATAGACGTTTATCAAAATCTGACTGCTTGAAACACGTGTTTCTTTTGCATCTGTTTGTAAACATCCTTTCCATATGTTATGTTAATTTTTCATATATATATATATATATATATATATATATATATATATATATATATATATATATATATATATATATATATATAAATAAAAATAATACATTTTTTTAAGGAAGTATTAATGTAAATGTTTTAGCAAAAACACCAACCTCGTGTTTCTGCTTTTACACTCTTAAAGTAACAACTGTTACAATTTTTTTTTCAAACTGAGGGATGTCAAAAATATTTTCAGTAGTATTCATTGCCAATCATCAACATTATACGTAATTTTGCATCTTTACATTTAGTCTCAGTGGCCATAATTTTTAAACTGAAAAATATCATGTTGCATATTTTAAAGCATTAATGAAAGTTAATTATTGTTTTAATATACTTAAAGTAAACAACAATTGTGTCAGACATATACAACTAATACAGTGGTAAACAACTTATCTTATGCAAGGAAGTGCTGCTGTCATGAATAAGTCCAGATTTTTATCTGTACGCTCTTAAATATAGCCTTTGTAATTTGCTTTTGTTTATGGAGGTATATCACTTGTGTAAACCAAATCAAAACCTGCACATAATTGAAACACAACCAGATTTAGTTTCTTATGCAAGCTAACAGTACACTTTTTTTCTTCTTTTTTTATACTTTATCAGAAAAGCCAAAATTACCAGAAAATTACACAAATGAGACCTGGCAGAAGCTGAAGGAGGCAGTAGAGGCCATACAGAACAGCACTTCAATTAAGTACAATCTAGAGGAGCTCTATCAGGTATGATATGTGTTTTATGTGTAAGGGGTATACAGTCAAAGACCCAGAACCAGATATGAAGAATGAAGACCCGGAGTCAGAATTATAAAAAATTAAAGAAAAGTTTTACTGAAGATAGTTTGCATTTTCATCAGCAGAAGCCAGCTTCAAGACTCACACAGGAGTTCGTAGGCCGCCTCACTTACAGTTACAAAGATCACAGCAGTTATACCATTTCCAAGGTCTAAGCTACGTCATTGCTTACAGGTTGAATGATTCTCATTGGCTAAGAAACATGAAAGCCTAAACAATTTAACACATGTGAGGAGATAGGGGTGCCTATCGCCATTAGTAAAGATAGTTGTCGTCCACTCATTAGATTTAGGTCTGTGGTGGCCTCGCAGGTTAGAGAAGGGCGCCGGGGTGTCTGGTCCGACCGTCCAGAACCTACATAGAATGTCATACGCACACACACACAAATAACAGACACGAGCAAATAACAGCTCCCATCAAGGCTGAAGAGAGTCTGAGCTCCTTATTATCAGTTAAGTATACCAAAACATAATGCCAAAACATTCACTCATTTAGGAGAAAAACAGATCACTGGCATTTACTCCCAAGGAAGGAAATATACTGGAAAGAATACATTTTAATACAACAATTAAAGTTTGATAGTAACGCTCAATATAGCTTGACCATATGTCCAGCGAAGGATCATATGTGCCCACGCTGCCTTTAGGACCCTCTAACCTTTCTACTGATCCCAGAGAAAGAGACAAACGGCCTTGTGGGTTCCGTGGCCTTCGTGTCCTGCGTGTACTAAGTGCAATCTCAAAGTAAGATTGGAATGCACCTAAAAGAAACTGGTTACTTGCATCCATGCATTTAAGAAAATATAATTTCACAAGCACAAGAATATAAAAATTATTATGTGATAATGAATATATTTGATTATTGATTTTTATAAAGGAAGTATATAACCATTCAAAATGATATATGATTATATATGTATTTGAAGAGGCAAGGGATTTTGACCAACCCTTCAGTCCCCCGTTTTAGACCAATGTGGGGTCCAATACCGCCACGTCTGGTCTAACCAGTGAGGTCACTACGGAAGGGAGGAGTGGTGACGCATGCTCCCCTGACGGGTCACACTTGTCTCTTCACCTCGTCACGGACATGCTGGATATTAAAAATTCCAGTCCCCATTAAGAGGCTCTCCCACCTTCCACTCACAACAGGACATCAATGTCATTCTTCCTCAGTTTATCAGTCAGGTTAAAATTTTTATAAAACACATAACTGATTACGAAACAAGTACATATTTGTTCTCTGGAAGCCAGGCTAAATAAGCAAGCACTATTGCTGTATTCCTAGCATGGGCTAGATCCACAGTCACTACTCAGATCCTAAATAAAGACATTGTCTATAATCATGAGTACCAGAATATATGCACTAGTTTTTTTATTTATAAAATTATGATTTCCAAATCCTTTTATTATAAACAAAGTTGGATGGTTAATCCATTATTTTCACTACCCCTTTTATAGACCCTTTAGGTTTAAAACACAATGGTTGTCTAACTAAAAATAAACAACAAACAATAAAATATTAATAATTAAGACCCATAATAATCGATGTAAGCCCTTTAAGTCTTTACTGAAATCATCCTTCAGTTTA